TTTTTTTCTGCATCAGCAGCCTCCCTGCCGAAGCGCTTTCAGTAGACTTAGTAGATTTTCCCCTATTTTTTTACAAAAAGCCTGCTGTTCTTTTTCTGCAGCACTTCTGAGATAACTTTAAAAAAAAAGAAAAGAAAAAGAAAGGCCTCCCCTCCAGGAAGCAAATCAAGTGAAATATTTGTTATTTGGCTGCTGTTTATTTTGGGGCTTTTTTTCTGAAGGGCTAACGTTTTAAGTTGGGTTAGTGGGCAAAATTACTCTTTGGGGTTAGATTTGGAGTCAGGACAGCAGGGGGTGAAACGTTGGTATCAATAAAAAGGCTCTGCTCACAAAAAAGCTATCTTCATCTCTCCGAGGATGGTTGCCCCGTTCTGTGTCCCTTCGTCGTAAACCGAGACAGATTCACACTCTGGGTGGGGTGAATTTGACCCGTCTTGGGGCAACCTGGGAAACTTAACAGCAAGTTTTAAGAGCGCATGAAAATTCAAGGTGCTTTATTTCAGAATTCAAAACAACCCGATGCAGAAAGCATAAACCTACATCTTAGCACATTTAACCAGCATCCACCATTCTGTGTTTTGGTTTTAAACCGGCAGGCTTAAATGGTTTGGCGTAAGATGGATGCACATTGGGATTCTGTGTGCCAAAATGAACAAAAAGCAGGCACGCCCACCCACCCACCTCATTTCCAGCTGCTGCTGAGTCAGTCTTTGAGAATCGCATGCTGGCTGGGGAATTTTAGGAGTGGAAATCCACAGCTCTTAAAAGTTGCCAATATCGAATACCCTTCGCCTACCGAGTCAAGCCTTCCCTACGCCACATTTCTTGGAAAGCAAGGACCGCCTGTTTTAGACAGACACGAATCTCCCATTTGTCTGAAAAAAATAGTCTTGGGTGGGTGGGGATTTCCCCCAATGAGGAAGTCCTTTTTAGTTCCAAACTAAAGCTGGCATTTTAAAAAAAATATCTTCAAAAAATGTTTTATTTTCCCATAAGGAGGAAATGCAATTGTTTAGTGAGGATAATGTCTCTGATTCTTCTCCAGTATCTTTTCAACTCCCATATGATACAGGGAGGTATAATTTTTAGTCGAATGTACACCTTGCATTCCATTTTCCACACACACACACACACACCCCAGAACAAGCACTCTTGGGGTGTCTCAAAAGTTTTCATGATGGAAACGGGACACTTCGCCTGATCTACTAATTGGATCAGAGGGATGTGTCTCTTTTAAAAACATCACTTCGTCTTCTGCAATTTTTGGCTGCAAAGACTTTTTTTCTCTTGAGTGTCCCAAGGTGTGTTTGTGTTGTTTTCAACATGTGCCTCCCAAAAAGGAACAACACGAACAAATCTTAAAGAAGAGATTGGACAACCATTTGCCTGAAATGTATAGGATTTCCTGCCTAAGCAGGGGGTTGGTCTAGAAGACCTCCGAGGTCCCTTCCAACTCTCTTATTCTAAATAGACAAATTGACAGAAACGTGCAATGCAAACACCTCAAGTTTGGAGATTGAAGAACCTTTCCATCGCCAGCAGAGGGCAGTATTGGGCTATAAAACAACACACCTATCCATAAAACAAACGAAAGCGAAAGGTTTAAAAAGGTACTTTGGTTTCTTGGCAATTACTGTGTTTTTTTGGTGCCACAAATCGCTTCTGGTTCTTTTTTTGGTGAGAAACCAACGGACCAGCTTTTGACAAGCCCATCGAGGTAAGATTCGCTCTGGATCGTTATTGCTGCCTACACCTGGCCCTAGGATGTCTTTGCAAAAACAGTTCGTGTCGTTTTCATTCCCTTTCTTTTATTTTCCAGAGAAGGGTTACCTACAAGGAAACTATGGCAGGTTTATGCATGGCTTTTGAGGGATAGGAACAGAGGGGTGGGTGGGGTGATCTCTCATTTGTCCTAAGTGAGGACCACCTGAATTTTTCCTATCTTGTCCTGTCTTCAGGATCTTTGGAGAATAGCTTGACTCCCTCTTCTTTGAGGCAGCCCCTGAGATATTGGAAGACTGCTATCATGTCCCCGCTAAGTCCTTCTTTTCATTAAACTAGACTTACCCAGTTCCTGCAGCCGTTCTTCGTATGTTTTAGCCTCCAGTCCCCTAATCATCCTTGTTGCTCTTCTCTGCACTTTTTCCAGAGTCTCAACATCCTTTTTACATCATGGCGACGAAAACTGGGTGCCCTATTGCACGAGTGGTCTTACCAAGGCATTATAAAGTGGGATTAACATTTCACATAATTTAAAAATTATTATTTGACTGGGATTGTTTCCAAAAGGAACGTGGCTTTTGTACCTATAGCCACACCTTGTTTTTTTATAATGGGCTGGTAATTTTTCATTCTTGCGGAAGCAACACTAAAGTCCAAAGGCCACCGTGACTTAGATAATGTTGAAAGGTGTCAAAATGCCTTTCCTTCGAGGATTCGATTTTCCCGCTGGGAGAGCTCCGGCGCAAGGATACGGACAACTGCTTGAAAGCTGGATCTTTTTATTTTTCAGGAAGGCGAGGGACAGCGAGAAGTCTGCGTTCCTGGGCTAGTTAGCTTCTTATGGTAAGTCCCTGTTTTTTTATACCCTTTTCTCCCTTTGTGAGTTGATTTCGTGTGAATGTTTGTATTTGTGCTTAATGTGTCAAATCCTGTTTGAGTTTGTCTTTATTCCTGCTGGAGGGCAAACTCCGCGGAGTGCGGAAGGTTTTTTTTTTTTAAACGTTCACATGAGATCACACTTAAACTTTCAACCCACACACGTGTTGGTTGGCAACCTAGATGTACGCGCAGCTGGAGAAGAAGATGGATGGAAAGAAAGCAGCGGACAAGATAGCTGGCGACGTGCTTAACAGGACCAAAGAGGTTGCTCTTGAATTTTGGAAGTGTCTCTATCGCCTAAGGAGCAACTGGTCCCACCCCAACCTCAACAGGATGGTTGAAGAACTATCTTGCCGAGGCAAGTCACGTTTTTTCCACTCTTGCTACCCTTAGTGGAGGAAACTGACCGGATGTTTCTCAGTGCGTTGGGCTTCACTGGATCCAAGAGAATATCAACCAGGAAAGGGCCCAAAACAAACCCCTTTGTAGCTGGGACGTCTGTCTCCCAAGCTTTTGTTGCATCTTGGATTGGATTTGATCTGAGTTCATTAATTAAACCAATCCGTGAAATCAACTGCTCATTAAAACAACTAATTAAATCGTTGAGTCAAAATTAATTCATTCTTAATTAAATTTAATTAATTTCATTACTCGACGAGAGCCAAACCGTGGTACCACCCCTGTAGTCACCTTAGCACAATTTGGCAACCGGTTCCACTTAATGACCAAGGTAAAAATGGCTCTAAAACCAGGTCTGTGGTGACTCACTTAATGGCTGTATCACTTAGGGACCCAAATTCCAGTCCCAGTTGTATTTGTAGGTTGAGGACTACCTGTAATGGAATTCAGATTTCTAGAAAAGTAGTGGACGGTGAAATTTTGTGAAGTTTAATTTCTAACTTTTATTCCCCCCTAATTAAAGGACAAGATCTTTCAGAGGAGATTCTTCTAAATAAGGATGGAGACCTTCTTGATCAGGAATTAAAAGGTACCAGAGAGAGATTAAGAACAAGAGAAACACACTCACGTCCAAAATCCAGCTGAACACGGCAGACAGAGACTTTGACTCCCAGAATCCCCCAGCCAGCAGGCTTTAAGAGGGGTGGACTTCCACTCCCAGAATCCCCCAGTCAGCAGGCTTTAAGAGGGGTGGGCTTCAATTCCCAGAATCCCCCAGTCAGCAGGCTTTAAGAGGGGTGGGCTTCAACTCCCAGAATCCCCCAATCTGCATGCTTTAAGAGGAGTGGAATTTA